TGGGGGGTGGCTTGCCCCTGCGTGGGGAGAGGCTGCTAGGTCGCCTCTCTCGGATCCGTGCCCCTGAAACCTTCCCAGGCCGGCCCATGCGCAGCGTTTATTCGGGATCGGCGTCCGATCGGAAGGCAGCCCAAGTTTTGGAGCCCAGTGCATTTAGCTGGGCTGGGTATGCTATAGCAGTACACCACAGTTCATGCCTTGCTGCACTTCACAAGACACGTAGGTTTGAATATCCCCTTTTAAATATAAACGTTTTCTATTATTGAAGCCGTCTTCATGAAATTGATAATGACAGCTTGTGATCAATTTGCAGAACTTTGCAGTTTCTAAATGAGGAATACTCCGTTGAAAGATTTGTTGCGAGAAATGCATCACACAGAAGTCATAAGTGCTGTATGTTGCGTTTAGATTTTCAGCGCGTTTCTAGTAAAGGTGCAATACACGTTTGGTTGATGTGTTCTGTATGGCTGGTGACTACTTGAAACCAACTGATTTTTGCCAAGTGATAGCTGACTAACTGCCAGTAATGAGTTCTCCGAACTATTATAGGTTCATAGTTTTTGATTTATTTTCCAAAATGTTTTGCAGAGTCAAAGCTTAGTCCAAGCTTCAGAGTTAATTTCAAAGCTCACTTTCATGAGTCAAAACAACTGTGTCAAGCCTTAAAGCTTCAGAAGTATGTTTGGCAGCTGCTGAGAGCAGTTTTGTGTGATGTGTACTTGGAAACAAAGCTGTTTATGTCCCCTCAAGGTGAGATTTTGGTGTAGTAGATGTGATACGAATATGTGTCAGCTTCTGTCATTCTTTCATGAAACGTATTTAAGGTTTGCAGAAGTTTCTAGTACATGAATTCTAGTTTTCTCCAATATATATGTAAAAAATAAATACCTTCTGATTGATAACTGATGCAGTGTTGTACTTGGAAACAAAGCTGTTTATGTCCCCTCAAGGTGAGATTTTGGTGTAGTAGATGTGATACGAATATGTGTCAGCTTCTGTCATTCTTTCATGAAACGTATTTAAGGTTTGCAGAAGTTTCTAGTACATGAATTCTAGTTTTCTCCAATATATATGTAAAAAATAAATACCTTCTGATTGATAACTGATGTAGTGTGTAACAGCATTTCTATGCCTGGGAATAGAGTGTAATATAGAAATAATGCAGAAGCTTACAAACAATTACAATATTATACATATATATTTTTAGCAAAATTACTATATTAAAGGGTTGTAGGTGCATGTATTTATCAGTCAAGTCTTCCTGAGGTTGATAACTTTCTACTTCAGGGAATAACCATAAGTATTCTGTAATTTGTTTAATAAGCAGAACCACGCGTATACCTTCTATGAATTTTAGCTGTGAAATTGGTTTGACCAAGAAATTGTGCTAAAAGTAGCTAATTAACTGCAGAATCAAAAATAAGGATCACTGTAATAGAATATGGCAAATAGATAATTTCTGAGTTAATGTGATCAGTTAATAAAGAAAAAAAAGCTGTAAAATACTGACAAAGTAGAAAACTCAAATCAGGGGACTTGAGATAGAATGGGAGAAAAGAGCAATAAAAAGATAGTTTAAATTATTGGTCAAGGTAAACATGATGTTCATTTGAAGATCCAGTTGGCCTTGTATTAAGTCTTGCCTTTATGGCCTAGCTGCTAATTTAAAGGGTGAGTTTTGCATAGTGAGTAAGATTTGATAATAATTGTGTTGTAACTTTATTCTGGACAAATTATTCTTTATAATTCCTTTGTCCTGCTTTTGAGTTCCTCTTTTCCATAACTGGTAAGCAAACCCAACAAACTGAGTTTCAGAATATCGTAGCTGAAGACTGAAAGCCAGTCTTTTAATAAGACACGCGCTACCTCCGCTCCGTAACTAAAGCAAAGAGATTAATACAGTTTATATCAGAATTCAGGGTTTGTGCTTCTCCACTCCCAAGCGTTCTTTGAGATTGTATCGGAGAGACCTGGGGTTTCTTTCCAAGCCATGGAGAATCTCTCTTTCCTATCAAAATGCCATACTTAAAAAAATTCAGCCTTTTTTATCGGATCATCCCTGTATTTTTCCCTTCTCTGTGATGGTCCAACCAGATGATCTATCTCCTGATTACACTGACTGACCACAGCACAAATTGTTCTGTGCCTGGCGATCTTCTTAAGCCAAACCAGCTCCGTTAGCGTCATTCAAACACTAGTCCTAACCATCTGTTCAGACAACCCAAGAATGTAGGTGTCCTTGCCACATCCTAGTACAAAGAGTAAAAAACAGTAAGTCATGTTGATAAGACAGTTCATTAAATCAATCTAGAAGAGATACAGTAGGAAGTTCCCCAAAACGCCAAACTCTGTTTCAATACACAGTTTATTTTAAAATACAACTCCAAGACCGAAGAAGTATTATCAGAGTACCTACAAAAATTACCTATTTTTGAAAACAAACAAAACCCCAAACCACCCACGTAGCATTTCACAGTTTATTATCTGTTTAACACTGGGGACTCTGTTAGGAGTATTATCCTGTGTGTTAATATATGGTGTGTGGGCACCCTAAGAAGGCCTTGCTATAGCTGTGACTTCTCTTCCCTTTTTTGTCTCACCAATGAATTTATCTCACTGTGAAGTCTTGCACATTGCCACACGATTTGGTATTTGGACAGGAGTCTTATTTATTCTGGCTCTATATGCATGGAACATAATTGACTGATGGATTTATAACTGGTAACTATGTAAGATCAGAATCAGACACTGTTTACATAGCGATGCAAAATAGTATTAAAAACATCTGAAAAGCAGAACAATACCGTGCTTGTAATATGGATATGTACTAGTTCTGATAATATCCTCATTATGTAAAGGAAATGAAAGAATTCAAGGTAAGCAATTAAAACGTGTGTTCTTTATATATATTATAAATATGTATTTTAGATATTTTTATTATATAAGAATATATTTCTGTTCTTACCAGCTCTTAGCCAACAGTAGAGCAGGGTCTCGGCCCTGTTTGTCTGCTTCTGTTGTACTTTTTTTTTTTTTGAGGTTTGCCACACTTACTTAGGTCGCACTGTCAAAAGAAGTTGCAGTGAATATTATTTATTATCTTTAAATGGTTTTCTTGATCTTGTGTCCAAAGATGAGATGCATGTAGTGCCTTAGTTAAGCTTACAGTTTTATGGTTCTATAAATGCAAGTGAATCACGAGGCACGGAAGAGTTCACAGTGTACAATTGCGTTTCATCAGAACAATTGAAGGTAAGTTGGAAGTTCGTTGTTTCAATTTGTTATGTTCCCTTTTTGTCTGTTCATTTTGGTAAAGATAGTAACTAATTGATTAAAACCGAAAGAAGACAGAGGTACTGCATCAGTGATGTGTATGTCTAGCTAGAGAAAAAAAAAAAAAATCCAGCTTCTTCCTTATCCCATGCTTGCGATTTAACTTACTGGGTACTGCTATTCTTGATGTTACTCTTGGGTTATTCTGCTTTTGCATCACTGCTGTCAGTGGTGCCGTGCCTCCTGCTTCTTTGTCCAATTTAAAGTTATTAAATCTAGTCAATTAAGTACTATAATTGGCTGTCATTGAATCTGTAAAGCTTTGCATCATATCAGCCTCAGAGAGAGAGACTGGTGTTTGGTGATGTAGTATGGCAGGATCTACAACTAGTTAAAGGCTAAACCTTCTCAGATTTGTTTTAATGTATGTAAATACGTTACCAGATTTTGTTAATGTAGCCCTTGAAACTAAGTTGGCAAGTCATTTATTTTCTTAATGAGAGTTGTTGAACCAATGAGGGCACAGATAATCTTATTATACCATCCAGACCTCGTGTTACATTTGACGGGATTTTAGAGAAGTCATGTGTAATACTTTCCTGTGGGTCGAGTCTGCTTATGTTACAGTTGTACAAGGTCAGACCTTAATTTATCTAGCAACTGCGTATTTAATTTTAGAATTATCACAGGACACATCAGCTTGCAGGGCACCATTCCTGGCTGTTCAAAATGCAGGCCCCAGAGTAACAGTGGCAAGATAATGGGTTGAAAAGGTGAGAATATATGTTATGCTCGCCAATTGGAATAACAGTGAACTAATTTAAAACTGTAACATTTAATAGACTGAGTCCAAATTTAGATTGCTATTAATTATTTTATTGCTATGAATAACCTCTTTGCATGCCTAAGGGCCTTCTATTTATAGAGAGCAAAGTTAGGATTGTCTAGTTTATTTTAAGGATAAGAAATTAGAATAACATTAACACTCACATAACATTAACTTTATACCTATGTGTTTAAAAGTGATGAACGCTTGATACACTTCTTTCCAAGGAAAGACGCAACTGCCATGATTAGCAAGTAGTTCAGATTTTCTTCGATGAAAAAACAGTAACTTAATTTAAGAGAGCAAAAGGTTTTTTTAAGGAAAACAGCAAGATGTCTTCATTTTTTCAGGCATAAATGGAAAAAATATCAGACTACTCCAAATGTTGTTTAAGGAAAATATTTGTTGTAATACAAACACTAAAACTTCTTTAGAGGAAGCATTTGCAATTTGTTCTAGTGATCTAGTGCCTAGGTCTGGTAATTGCGAAGCTTCCATTCTTGAATAGAAGATTTTGCTGCTGAGCTTTTTAGCCTTTTCATTGCTACATCCCATAATGTAGCAGGGATGGCTCTGCTGCTGCCGAGTGTACCAGCCATGCTGTTATATTCCACTGTGATCCTAGTGGAACGTCCGCGCTTCAGTCGGACCTTGTCACCTCAGCACAGCGTATTACCAGCAGTGATATAGCAAATCAGGCTCTCAAAGCACGTATAGACCCCTGGCAATGTGTCCAGCACTTGTGCTGTGGTGAGCTGTTTGCCTTATACTCACGCTACCATGTCACAGTCACTTGCTGCCTTACTAACTTTCTCATTTTATAATACATTATTAATTTTTGTGGGATAAGATAATTTGAAAACAGTACATACAACAATTCTGAAACACTGCTCATCTGAGACCTTTCTGGTTAAGTCTGTGTTCAAGCAGAGCTCTATGTTGCCTGTGGCATAGTCAGTTCTAGGGAATACAGCAAAGCAGGAGATAGCTGACCAAATGGGTATGGATGTTGTATGACCAGAAAAAAAAACCACTCAAGTTTCTATCGTGACCTGTAAACTGGTTTCTTCCTCTAATCTTTTGGAGATAAAGGGGAGGTAGAAAGGCAATACGTTTTTCCGAAAATAAAAGGATTTTCTTAGTAAATGACTATCCTGCAAGATGCTCTGTGCTCTTAACTCTTCTTGGAATCAGTGACGTTGGAGGGTATTGATCACCTCATAGGACTAAACCGTATGTGAACATCTTCATAAAGGTACTGTAATACACCAAAACAGCCTTTTTTCAGAGATTTTGCGATGTGAGGGTCTAATCTCAGGCCTTTATAAGTCTTCAGGAGTCTGTTTGGTTCAGGCTCTAGGGTAAATATAATATGATGGGCTGTAATATAATAATTTTCAGTCTCAATTCTCCTAAGGACAGTAACTTCAGTAGGGCTTGCAGGGCATGAAGGTCCATCCACGTGGATCTGAGGGTGATCATGATTCATTAAAAAGATGCTTCAGAAATTTCAGCGATGGCATGAAGTCTTCAAATGGAGGTTTTTCAAAACAAAAGGTGTGAAGAAAGGGAAGGTGGCTTCTGTTTGCCTTTAAGCTGTTGTGGAGGAAATGAGATTATGAATGTCACACATTTTTCCTTGATAAATTATCTTATGTAAATTAACTGTTTAGTCTCATCAGGAGCACCTCCCAGCTGCCAGCGAAATGTTAATTTATTCTAAAATGTACTTACCTTTTAGCTGATGGCAGAAAGAGGTTGTAGAGATGTTTATTGAGATACACTTCTAAAACTGCTAGTCCAAGAGAGATTTTATCTTTCCTGTCTAAAAGGTTTGTCAGTCTTCAGAACAGCGTATATTTGTGGGTTAAATGATGGAAGCTTTAAGGTGCCATCAGAATTAGAAAAATGTTTATGAATATGTGAAGATAAACACACAAAAGAACCTCAACTCAGAATTCTCCTGCCTGTCAACAAAGTGCATTGCCAACAAGAGATGAGGAAGAGAGGCTCAGTTTCATGGCCTTCTTGATGATGAGAATTTTACATTCTGGTTAATAAGAAACTTGTGGCAGCATTTAGAAAAAAAAGATGGTCAGCTCCTTTGTTTTGTGTGGCTTTTTGAAGTTGCTATGTTTTGTATTGCACCTTGGAAGTTTGACATGGGATACCTTCCTTTCTGCATAAAGCAAACTATATTTTAAAAAAACCCAACAACTTATTAATTTATTTTTGCTGCAACAAACTTGATAGGCTTTCATAAGCTTGTTTTGATCATAAGAGTTTCAGAACATAGTTATCATTGTTTTTTAGAATTACGGAGAACTTCGTATTGTCCATCCTGACTGACAGGATGTCAGTCAGTCAGCATTCTCGGTGATTTCAGAAATCTTTTTTGCATGAGAAGTTCTACCTAAATTTCAGTATGCCAGAACATAACTTTGAGAACTTCTAAGCATTAGTATGATGTGCAGCAGATTTAACATTAGGTAGCATGTGGAAGATTTTGGTACGTGTGTCTGCATTGTACTGACCAGCTCATCAGTCTAACTTATGTGTGAAATCTTCTTTTGGACTGTTATGCTGAAGCCTTGATTAGAGACACAAAAGGAAGGAACAGAGAACCCTTCAGAAAAGCGTTGTCTTTTATGAACAACGTAAACGTCTATTCTTCTAAGCCCCAAAAGAAAATGTGCCCGTGAATATTTTTTTTAATTATTATTTGTGGAAGTTTTTTTGTAGTCGGAGGTGGCAGTCAAGACCAAAGTTGTGTATTTTTTCCTTCAAAGAAAATGGGACTGAACTGGAGATTTTTTCCACTTTCCTTCAGATTGTCCATCCTTGCAGTTAAAAACCTGGGCCATGCTTCCAGTACATATTGAAAGAGGTGGGAAACTGCATTATGTGGGAATCTGAATCCAAGAGACCTTTAGCTTCTGAGTCTAAGACCTTACTAATTTAATTTTGGTTTGCAAGCTTTATCCTAATACACTAAGTAGTAAAGTGTTTGTGGATGAGATTATAATATTGGCTATGGTACTTTGATTGACTTATTACTTACTGGAACAATGCAGAAATTAGTCTAAAAAGAAATCTGGTCAGCACTTTCCCTTGAAGATCATTTTCAGAAAATGGCCTCCAGATAATTTCTACAACGTTCCTTCTCTATTTGCAAAATGACTAGGACGCCCCACAATGATTGTTCTGTAAGAAACATACAACAGATGCTTAGTATAATTGTTTAATATTTGTGCAACACTTTGAACACAAGTATTCTGTGTGGTAGATACAGTATGTTACTGCCTAAACCGTGGGAGCAGTAGTTTAAAACTTTAAAAAATTCAACATCCGGTGTCCCCAATCTGATTAAAGGACAAACGTGTTAGGCCATTAAGATTGAATCAGAGAAACTTTGGCGAAACCCAAAGCCCACTTGTAAAAACCTAGGTAGGTACAGCTAGGCATATATTAACTTCAGTTTTTATTCTCTATAGATCTTTTACAATATATAAATACTACATTTTACACTTCAGGAACCTACAGGAAGATGTGAAGAGCAACATTTCTGACCTTCCAGTTATAGTTATAATTTACTACCAACGCGTTTAGTTGATGTGATATCACTAGCAAAAAGCATAGTGAACATAAGCCATGGTTAAAGTTGTTGATACGAGCAGACTGAATTTAAGCTGGTGACTACAGTTAAGAGGTTTGACATACTCCATTACTAATCCACTCAGCCTTCCAACTACTCTCACACCTTGAAAATAACAGCTGGCATGGCTTGACCATCACCCAGGCTTGTGTACTGAACTCCTGTGAATGTCCATTAAGCTTCATGACTGCAGAAGTAGTGCAGAGACTCCAAAGTCCTTAGTCTGCTTTCATGGACCATGCCTTGGCAGTGTAAAAATAAAGCAAGATTTGCAAGTGTTTGTGGGGGTTTTTTAATATATTAATGATCATTAAAAGTGATAATTAATGACACGAGACCATTGTAATGTTTCGTTGTACAACTACCTGTCCGTGAAGTCCAAAAATCTTGTATATTATTATATTAACATAAAGTAGGTTTTGCATTCGGTATCATCTCTCTCAAATCCCTTATTTTTTATTTGAGAGAACACCCCCATCCAGCTCCAGGAGAGGAGAGGTGAATAGAGGTAACAGCTGAAAACTTTTCATCGAATCACAGAATCATAGAATAGTTTGGGTTGGAAGGGACCTCTAAAGGTCATCTAGTCCAACCCCCCTGCCGTGGGCAGGGACATCTTCAACTAGATCAGGTTGCTCAGAGCCCCGTCCAACCTGACCTTGAATGTTTCCAGGGATGGGGCATCCACCACCTCTCGGGGCAACCTGTGCCAGTGTTTCACCACCCTCAGCGTAAAACATTTCTTCCTTATATCTAGTCTGAATCTACCCTCTTTTAGTTTAAAACCATTCCCCCTTGTGCTATGGCTACAGGCCCTGCTAAAAGGTCTGTCCCCATCTTTCTCATAAGCCCCCCTTTAAGTATTAGTAAAGTTCTTCTGAATTCAGAGCTGGATGATGTGTCACCACCTAAACTGTAGTGACATGCTGTGGGCTTTTGCACGCTGAAATCCTGTGTCCAAATGGCACTGGTTGGTGGATCCATCTTGTATCTGCTGCCGGTGCCACGCTGGGTGAAGGAAGCGGGGAAAAAAATGCTCTTTCCCCACACAAAAGAGTCAAGTTAGTTCAGAGCTTCTCTGAAATAATTTGACATTTGTGTAAATCCTGAATAAGTACAGTATGTGTGACCACCCTTAGAACTGGTCATGTGTTTCATTCTGAACTGCAAACTCTCTCTGTAAATCTCAAACAATTTGAGTGGTTTTCTTTTTTGTGTCTGTAGTTTTTAAATGTATATGTGATTGTGTTTATGTTCATGAATTCCTTGTGAATGCCTGTGTTTGATAGGAATAATTCATGGGTGGTAACTTTGTTTACTGTTCATTATTCTTGCTTGTATGGAAATCATATATTCACTGACTTGATGACCACACCTTTCTAAAGAGGAAAAGTTTCTTTTTATGATTCACAAGTTGTCCAGTATTTGTCTGTAGATGACACATGTAGTGTGTGAACAATAAAAATGGCACGTCTCGTACTAAATGTTTCCAGGGTTGTTTTCTTTTCTATCACCATTTTTAAACAGGAATTTTATCCTTTTTAAATAAGAATAAACTCACCAAAACATTATTAAATTAAATTTATGGAAACACCTGATTTTATTATAAAAAATACCTTAAGCAAGATATGATACTTAGCAGTATATTTTTGCGTGTGTTTCAAAATACCTCATCATTATAGCTCACCATAAAAAATGATGGATGAAAGAGAAGATTTGGTTGAAGATCTGCTCACTGAGTATGCCATACAGCTTAGCATTCAAGAATCAAATGGGGCCAAACCACCGGTGTCTTCCAGCTATCATGACAGGTACTGTCAATTCAATATGTTAGAGATTATGCCACATTTTAACAGTGTTTTGAGACATTGATATTTAGTGCTTAAAACAGTTTGACTCTTACACCTCTTTCTCAGTGAAGCACTGTCTGAAGCAATGATTGAAAAGAGTAAACAAAATAGAAATGTTGATTTTGTTTTTCTCAAACATTTCTAAAACCTCAAACTTTAAAGGCAATAAATTAGGATTTGTTAGCAATCTGGCTGCTCTGTAATTGTAGCAGTGCCCCAGCCTTTCCCTGTGCACTCAGATACATGTGTGTACAAGAAAAATCCAAACCAGAAAAACAACAGCAAACCCACAGGGGTGTTCAGCGAGGGTTCATACATTACATGAATGTTGTGGTTAAGAGTGGTTCCCGTGATTGGGAAATGGAGGGCTCAGCTGAGCTACCTTGGGTGATGAGAGCTTAGGGAGATGAGATTCACTTGGCTAAACTAGTACTTCCCTTAGCTTTTCAGGCCATTTGTCTTCTTACGAAAAGCATATGTGTGAAACAAAGCTAAACTTTGCCTTAATAGAAGTTCTTTGGCAATAATCCCATAAATACATTTTGTAGATTGCCTTGTCTAAAATGGAAAGATGCAGAACTGTAAGTCTTGGGGGACTGTTAATATTTCCTAATTTCCTGTGGGATCTCATGAAGGTTTGGGTCCTCATGGCCTCCTGTTGTAGGACTGGAATCTCCCTTTTCACTGAAGGCTCTCAGCAGAGTCGCTGGGTATTCTTGTTATTTGGCTGCTTTTTTTCTATTAAATCTGATCTCTTTTTTAATATGCTTTTATCACCAAAATATCTCAAGGAACTAGCAGACACCAGCATTTAACTTCCATCTCATGGAGGTTTAAATGATATTGTTAAAAACATTACAACTCTTTTTCAGGGAAAATGGTACCATTGATATCATCAGACTCTCCTTCATTAGTGAATATTGACATTCTGACGCCATCACGTTCTCATTCGCCGTCTAAGGTTTCTGAATCTGAAGGGCTCCTTTCTGTAGTGTGGGGCCAATACAGCTTTTTAGTCCACATCAGAATTCTTTACCAAATTAGGAGTTGTATCAGGTCAGCCCACAGCAGGAATTGCACCTAAATCGAGAACTTTGGATACTCTGAAGGTCCACAGAACAGGTGTAACGTAGGAGGTCACAAGGCTAATCAAGACTGTAGTTGGTGTATTCAAAGGAAAGTTGGCTCAGATGAGAACCTAATGGAAAATATTGAATAAATAATGTAATGCATCTACTTTCTGTTTATATTTTCTATTTTCTGCTCTTTTTTGGATAGTTTTGTACCACCTAGTGAGGAAAATAGGAAAATTGTAACATCCATAAAGCAAGGTAAAAACCCTAAAATAAAGTAGTCCCTTTGCAAAACTGAGCTTTCTGTATATTGTTTTTCCAACTGCATCTCATTTATCTGTTGGATTTTTTAAGGTCAAGTATTTGGGCTCCAAGAACTTGTGAAACAGAAATATGCTTTGGATGAAGCTGATGAAGGAGGGTGGTTTCCATTGCATGAGGCTGCAGCTCAGCCAATTCAGCAAATACTTGAAATCATTTTAGATGGTGAGTAAGGTAAAAATATCCCAGAAGATAAGGGGAGCAGCAAAAAACCATAGAACAATAAACAGCCATGCACAACAACAGGCTAGAACTGATTACGAAAAAAAGTGTGATCAAATCCTCCATGGAGCATCTCGCTTATGTTGTTTAAATATTCAGGCAAATTTTCTTTTTGGGAAAGTTGCATCAATTTGCACCAGCAAAGAACTTGGACCGTTTTTAAAGTTTTGTTCAGAAACCTACAGACAGAGTAAAAATTACTGTTCCATATTCAGTGTGTTTGGCAGTACTAGATAGGTTAAGTTAAACACAATTACAAGTAATTTTCATAAAGACTTAGCATTTAAGGATTTCTGGTATACGTGTATGTGTTAACAGCCTTGTGCTTTGATTTTCTCTTTTCTCACTTTCTTAATCTCTAGCATCTTATAAAACAATGTGGGAATACAAAACATGCGATGGAGAAACACCATTAACTTTGGCAGCAAAAGCTGGCTTTGTGGAAAATGTACGAACGTTACTGGAAAAGGGTGTTTGGCCCAATACCACAAATGACAAAGGAGAAACTCCACTTCTTATTGGTAATTGCCTCCTCTCCCTGGGTTTAAGCAAGTGAATGGCAGCATGTCCTCTCCGCTAAGTAGTCACCCGAGTACTCCTGTTGGCTTGTGTGGTTTAGATGCTGGTCATCTCTTTAGATGAAATGCCCAGCACTTAGTGAAATGTACCCAACGTTCAGTTCAGCACTCGTCGTGCTTTCGGTGATCACTGAGTTGCTCTTAAAGATGCTCCTTATGCTTTAGGTGATTGCTGAGCTGCTCCTAAGAAAATGGGACCTATTTTTTTGTTCAAGGCACCTTCTTGGTGTCTTCAGGTGCTGTAAGACCTTTACCAACCTGGTCCTATTTGACCATCTTAAGGTAAAAGTATGGTACAAGAATAAGCTGTTGCTTTAACTTGAATGTACTTTTTCTGGAGGTTTGGAGGTTATTGGAGATTTTTAGTTTTATTGGATGGTTTCTTCAGAAGTAGGCAGGTATTTTCAATTTCAAAATCTTCCTTCTCATCTCCCTCCCCTCTTGCACTGAAAATAAGCTTCAACTGCATTTCTAATACCCCAATCTAAAGAAAGATGATTCCTTTGGAAGATTTTATGCTATTGGTAGTCTTAAATGAGCTTTACTATACATGAGTAATTTAGCTATATTAGCTTCTAATTTCTGTTGAATGTCGAAACATCTCCATTTTTCTGAAGAGAATCAACCTGTGAAATTAGTATAATATTAAGAAAATACAATATATAATACAATTATCAGTATTAAAATATTCATTTCTCTGAATTTTTGTTAACTTTCATCAGATGTGATTACCATATTAACATTTTAAGGCTCTGAGGCATTTCTAGAGCGTTCCTCTGCAATGTCTTGCTTTGCATTGTTTCAGCTCTTTTCAATAATTGTAAGTCTGTGAAACTTTTAAACTATTTTCAGCCTTTGCTTTTAATGAATCCTGCAAAGAGTTAACTAGACCTTATGAAAAGGGTCTTTCCCCCTTATAATGCCAATTTATTTTCCTAAGTATTTCTCTGTACAAACTCCTGAAAATGAGGTTTGTCAGCTATGTATTGTTTATGTGATGCTTTTTATGTTTTTGTGTCACTGAGCGCTAAAAATGTGGATGTAGATATTGTTGTGCATCATGTATTTCAGTCTTAGTCTCAGTGAAATAGAGTATCAGGTGCTTAACACTTAATAGATGATGCTTATGATTTAGTTACTCCTTTTAATTTTAAAGCTCTGGATTAAAGGGCTCCTCAGTACAAAGGTAAATGCTGAAGAAGTATCTATCTAGTGGGATGATTTCTGCTTCCAGATACATTTGGTCATACTCCAAAGCAATTGTGGGTAATTATGAAGACTGTTGCCTCTTAAAAACCTTCTTACTTTTATGATGGGACATTCACAAAAGTTAAATTTGCTAACCCTATGACGCTGATCTCCCTCAGCTGCCCCACCAGTCAGTGGAGAGATCTGCTATTGCAAAGGGTAGTTCAGAAGTAAAATTAGACTCTTACTCAGGATCACTATTTTGTATGTAAATAATTTGCAGGTGTGTTATCCATGAAAATTTCAAACCTGGAACCTCAGAAGGGCAGAACATGGCCTTTAAGTATGACAGATGTCAACTGTACTTTGGCTGACAACAGCCATGCCAGGATTAGAGTTACCAGGTGACAAAGTCACAAGTGGAATTTTCTGGGGACACTGTAGTGTTTGCACCAACGTTAGAAGTAAGGACCATATTCGAATATTATGGTATTTTTATTGTTGCTGTTCCTTGTGATACACCCGCTTCTGCTTTCTCAGAATCGAAGCAGTGCTGCTTTTGCACTCCGTGCTCCAAACTGACATGTTTTCCAGCTTGTGTTGGTTTACCTTGGTTTCCCGAGCAGCTGACATTACCATTTATTTACCAGTAAATTGGATTCCCAGATTTTTAGGACTTGAAATCTTTTTAATTTCCTTGTATCAGTACACAAGGAAACACTTTTCTAAACTTATTAGATGTCTTTAACTTTCAAGATAACATACCTGAAAATGTCATTGTGTTATTTTCTTCCTTTTTAAATATCTTCAAGCTATAAGAAGGTGCTCTTTTGAAATGGTATCCACTCTGATTAAACACAACTGTAGTATCCACCAGCCGTGTGTAAAACGTTGGTCAGCAATGCATGAAGCTGCAAAACAGGGACGCAAAGACATTGTTGCTCTTCTTCTGAAGAATGGTGGAAATGCGAACCTTAAGGATGGATATGGAGTAACACCATTAGGTGTTGCTGCTGAATATGGTCACTGTGATGTGCTGGAGCATCTAATTCATAAAGGTATGTAGTCAGGTAAAAGGGAAATACACCTCTGCACTGGCATACACCTTGCCTGGTTGCTGAGGTGTTTTAGGGTGATCATGGAAAAGGAAAGAAAGAGTAGTGATGAATGAGACGACTTGGTTTCTTGGACGGAGAGGAAGCATCTATGAGTGTTCCTGCGAGACTGGAGTGATGCTTACATGGTTCCATAATGCATGTGAGAGGAGTGGCAGAGTTGATACCAATCCATTTCAATCAAGGGGGAACTTACTGCTATACATGCCCTTCTTGTCTTTATTTCTCTTTACTCCCCTCCCCTTCCTCCCCGCTTGCTTGCTTCCTCCCTCCCT